CGACCGTACTCAATGCGTCAGGTTGGGTAGTACTGTCTCTGACCCTGTCACCTTGGAGAAGGGAGTTCCACAGGGCTCTATCTTGGGGCCCTTGCTCTTTTTATTATATGTAAACAATATTTGTAATCAGATGCAATTTTCTACCTATCATATGTATGCTGATGACACTATTGTATACTCGTGTGCTCCTTCTCTGGATATGGCCGTTTCCAATTTAAAATCATATTTTATCACGCTGCAGCATGCGCTTCTTGATTCTAAACTGCTATTGAACAGTAAGAAAACCAAAGCAATGCTTTTTGCTCCCAAGTCAGCGTCCTCTTGCCTCTCCATTGACACCCTTGATGGCGTTTCTGTTGAGTTTGTTGATACCTACAAATATCTGGGCTTTTGGTTGGACAGTAATCTGAACTTTAAACACCATATTGAAGTTTTAACAAAGAAATTGAAATTCACTCTTGGCTTCCTTTTCAGATTTAAATGTTGTTTTTCAATTTCATCCAGTAAAAGGTTGGTCTCTGGCTTATTCCTGTCCCAGCTGGACTACGGTGATACCATTTATAGATTTGCCTGTCCCACTGTTTTAGCCAAACTTGACCCACTTTACCATGCTGCACTGCGTTATATATCAAATGCACCCTATAGGACTCATCATTGCACACTGTATAGCCTAACTGGATGGTCCTCACTTAGTATGCGTAGGATGCAGCACTGGTTTTTATTCATGTATAAAGCCATTTTAGGTAAGCTTCCACTGTATATATGTGCCAGATTTGCCCCAGTTTGCGACTCTTACAACCTCAGAACCAGTGCCTGGATACGGTTCCAGGTTCCTACTGTACGGACTGAGGCTGGAAAAAGGAGTCTTTCTTATTATGATCCTTGGTCTTGGAATGACCTTCAATCACACCTTAAACTGAGGGCACTTGTCTCTATATCATGTTTTAAATTGAAGTTGTCTGAAGTCCTCACCACCAGCTGCTCTTGCAGTAACAGGTAGTGTACTTTTTATTGTCCTAATGTGCACAATGTAGTGACTGCTTTTTCGTCTTTTGTTTTCTTAGTTATGTTCTCTGTATTTTATATGTTTGTGTTATGTGTTATGTGTAACATTGCTGCCTTCTTGGCCAGGTCAGCATTGAAAATGAGATTTTATCTCAATGTTTTTATCTGGTTAAATAAAGGTTAAATAAAAAATAAATAAAATAATGTTAGAAATTAAAATCAATGTTTAATAGCATAATTTATTCTAAAACATATTGTCAGTTTAAAAGCTGTTTTATTGTGAAAAAACCCGGAAGTTCTCAGGAAATCTCAATGCCAAGCTTTTATTCTGAAAATCCTTCATATCCGGTTAGCAGTTAGCATGTGGCTACCAATAATACGTTTTCTGAATGTAAAGTGAAAATGACATGGAGTGTTGCACACCAAAACCTACGGACTTTAACACTACATCTATAGACGTCGAGATATTATTACTGCTGAATATTAAATGAAGGTACAGTTGATAGTAGAGTGTTTTCACATACGTGAGTAGCTATGACGTCAGAGGGAGTTACCGTAAATGAGAACTGTGCCGTAAAGGTGTTTCTAGGATTTCTAAACTAACTATTACAGCTGTTTATAAGGTATTAAATAGAAAGTCATGAAGGAGATAAGGAGGAGAAAAGGCTTAAGGAAGTAGGCAGGGAATACAGAATGTCGAAATCCTCTGTTTCACGCAATGTCGAACCATGCAGAGGAGGAGGGCGGTCCCCCTATCTGCAAAGCGGGAGAGAACAAGAAAAGTATAAAGGAGATCGGAAAGTACAACCCGGGCTCTTTTCTAGTGATGGGAATTATGGCTCTTTGAAGGGAGCCGGATCTTATGGCTCCGTTCCTTTCAAAGAGCCGTTCAAAAGAGCCGTTTTTTTAAAAAGGGGGCGGGGTTACTAGGTTTATCTGCGAAATAATCACCAGGATAATGATTGACTGCATTGCCAGACCTAATGTCAATAATCTGCATTGTAAACATGACACAAGGTGGCGCCATATCCATGTCATTCATGTCAGTGAATGTACTTTGAATTTACCCTCTGTATGTGTTAAGTAAATAAAGTTGCCTTGCCTTGAATGAAATTCACGCAACTCTTAATATTAGATACTGTGTTTTTAAGTGGCGATGGAGATTATTTGTTGACCCTGCTTTAAAGGATATTTTGCCTTTACAAATGGTGCGCTTTATCACTGCCTGGGTTTTGGTTGAAGTGAATCCAAATGCTGCTGCGTTTTCGCGTTTGGCTCATTTTACATCCGAAAAACACGTCGTCTATCTGTCCAGTACCACTTGTTATGACTTCTCTCTCTCGCGTATTCCGTTAAGACCCACCCCATCTCACTCCTCGTGCTGAAACCTACAAATCAGAGTAGGGGCGGGTCTTCACAGAATACGTTTGGGGAACAAAATCAAGCTTTTTAAAAGGTGAGTGAATTTTGGCAGGCAGTGAGTGCGGACCAACTTTGATTGAACGATAAGAAGAACGGCTCTCACCAAGTACGACTCGGTTCCCCTCGTTCGTACCAAAGAGCCGTTCAAAAGAATCGGCTCGTTCGCGACCGACACATCACTACTCTTTTCTACGCTGCAGCCTACACAGGGACATCACCGGCTTTGTCTCTTCCTTACCTTATGCTTGTTCTTTAACCACGTTACTTAATTAAAGTACCCATTTGAACCTTTTCAGAGACTCCATTAGTCTCATTATTTTAAGTTTCTTTCCTGGGAGCGAGAAGATCACGATTTATCAACACTAACCTAGTCATTTCAGATATCCTGACAAACACTTACAGTACAGTTACGAGACAGACTAACTCTGACACAGAGACAGTTGTTCAGCTTTATCATCCTGAACGTCACCAAGCGCTCCGTCCCAGCTGTGTGCGTCACTCTTTAGTGTCCCCTGGTCTCCCAGCTGTGTGCGTCACTCTTTAGTGTCCCCTGGTCTCCCAGCTGTGTGTGTCACTTTTTAATGTCCCCTGGTCTCCCAGCTGTGTGCGTCACTCTTTAGTGTCCCCTGGTCTCCCAGCTGTGTGCGTCACTCTTTAGTGTCCCCTGGTCTCCCAGCTGTGTGTGTCACTCTTTAGTGTCCCCTGGTCTCCCAGCTGTGTGCGTCACTCTTTAGTGCAATATGGTCTAGCTGCGGCCGCGGCCAGTACACGACACTACACGACACGCCCACTACACGACACGCCCACCTGACACGACACTACGGTGGCTGAGAGACATTACCGTACATGGCAGATTAAAAGCGAATTGACGACACTTATTATTAATGAGATCGTACATGGCAGATTAAAAACGAATTGCAAATGTTATTGTAGCATTTTAAGCAACTATTAGGCAAATAAATTAATAACCTAGTCTATCCGTTTGAGACACAACAGTATAACTTTCAACCCAAATCATTTTGTCAACAAACGGTGGTTTAGTAAACTTTTTTTTAATATATAAAATAGGTATTAATGAGATAATCTATTGATTATGTTTGTCTAACTGCTACACATGTATTTTATACATAAATGTAGATATTTGTGAACATCTAAATATAGTTGTTAAAGGTTTTAAGATATACATTATCACATCATGGGGTCATTAAGGAACAAATTAGGAGGGCCAGTCAGGCCACTAATGAGCTCAATCATTCACATGTATTATTATTACTTTATAAATTAAAAGTACTAGGGGTCTATTACAAAACCTTTGAAGGAATCGCATCAATTAAAATAAATGTATGGCAAGTATGATCAAATTAACATAATGTCAAGATATAGCCAATAGACAATCAACATGCTTTGAATATAAAGGAAGAAGAACAATAAACAGATGAACATTTAGGTTTTATGTGTAAATTGTGAACAAACCATCTTAATACAACTGGCAGTCTAAGACAGCAAACTAAGCTTCTTTAACTGCTGCTAGAACACTGTTTTACCATGGGGTATTTCTAACAAGACCAAAAAGATATACAAGGCTTCCAAAACAGAAGAAACCAACTCAATACAGTATTTTAATTTCCTTCAAAACGACAAAAGCACTAATAAAAACCAAATAACAATAACATAAAGGAAAAGTAATTGAAGTGGTTGCCTGTTGTAAATACCTTGGTCTCTGGCTTGATGATTGTCTCTTCTCTTGCGTTCGGTCATACCCCCCTTCCCATACTATTATCGGTCAAAATTGGCCGGTGTGTTTTGCACAGTGATATTTCTGGAACCCCTTATCCCATTTTGATGGTTGACATCTCATTTGAACAGTCAAAGCCAGAATGACAGCAGGGGTGAATTTCATTTTATAATTTTGCAATAAGTCAAAGATATGTTTACTGTATATTATAAAAATGCTTGTCATGTAGGCATACTGGAGATGGGAAGGCTTTAGTCAGTGTTGTAGCTGAGATTCTTACCGTTCCAATGATGTATTAATAATAACTTGGATTTATATAGCGTCTTTCATGAGACCCAAGGTCGCTTTAAAAAGAACAGGAGTAGAAACAAACATAACAAAAGACAGTCAGACGAACAGTTAGACAGACAACACAAATAGATTTGGGGCCAAAGACCTTGGCAGACTTGAGGGCCCTTTTGAAGGCGTCAAGCGTGGGGATGTTGCAGATCTCCGCAGGAAGAGCGTTCCAGAGAGTGGGGGCTGCCATACTGAAGGCTCTGTCCCCGAAGGATCCCAGGTTGGTGCGGGGGGCCAGAGTCTGAAGACCGCAGGTTCCGGGGTAGGGCATGTGGGAATTGTATTGATTTGATACAAGCAAGCCAGTGTTTCATTGTGTACTTTCAACTACAGTATATGGTCCGGCAAGTTCAGCATTCACTGTGATGAATATACAATAAGACACTGATACCGTTTTCCTCAATGAACATTTATTGAACAGAACATGTGGAAAATCAGAGGGGCACTATTCAACCTGGTCTGCTTAAAAAAAAAATAACCTTTTAAAATTGATCCGAACAGTAAAATCAACATGGTTTAAATAAAAATGTAAGCAGCCAGGATTGACCTGCAGGAGGTTAAAGCCTATTTAAAAACTCCTCGGAATCCAAAGCTCCTCAGAATCTTTCACTGGAGTCCTTCAGCCTTTGGTGCGCTTCCTCACTCATGTTCTTGGTGAGGTAATGAGAACAAAGTTCCATCTCACTGATAAGACAAGATGGTATAAAGAAGTCATATATGTAATATTATAAATTCACATGCATCAGGGGTTGTACACTTTAAATGGAAATTGTATTAGCATTCTCCTCATGTTTCCAGCTTACCTCCAGTCATACTCGGGTCCACATTTATAAGTTTCCTTGGCTCTTTCAAGGGAAACCGAGAGTACAGCTGCAAGGGCGTGGACTGTCGCCTGTGTCATGAAGGGATTAAAGCCACACGTTTAACAGTTGGAGTAAAATGCAGACATCCAATAAAGGTTGTGCCATTCTGCAAGTGACAATTATGCCAGACCAATTGGCATCAACATTCTACTGGACATTGACCATGAGTTTAAGTGCAACATATGTAATTTTATATAATGTGTAGTCGACAAATAAAAAGTCAGTGAAATCTAACCTCTGGCAGAAGCACATCCATGACGAATGCCACCTCATCTGTGAACCTTCTCTCCGTCTGTGTTTTCTCAACCACTTGTGAGAGGAATGACAACACTCGGTCCACCTGGTCATCATCTTCAAATAAGATGATGACCCTTTCGTCCTTCTTTGCCCAAGGAGACTTGACTTGTCCAGTGACGATTGCCTGCAAATGCTATATTTTACTGGGAGAATGCTAAAAATACATGTATATTTCACTTTAATTATTTATATTGTGCTTAAAATGAGTCCCTTTACTTAGACATTTCAATTGCAAACTCACTTCAAGATGTTGCAGTAAGCCTTTGTCCTGAGTGATACAATCTATTAACAAGCCACTGGTCAGTCTTCGATGGTGCTGAGCTTGTTGAGCCCTTTCCTAAAATGTAATTGACAATGCTTAAACATGTTAAATTCAACTCTGAATAAGTAATTTCCATGAACATTTGCACTTCCTTACTGACCTCAAGCATCTTGAAAGATGCGTTTTCGCCATCCAGGCTTCCGTCTTCTTTGTCCATGGTAACATGACTTTCCTTAATGGGTACACAGGACAAATATTATTGAGTGGAATGCTCTGAATATTAGATACTCCTGATACTAGGATGGGTTGAATGCAGAGTCTATTTCACTGTGTCTGCTGTGCTGTGTACATGTGACGCTAAAGAGGATTCAAAATCCTCAATTTCCATATGAATGGCGGATAGTATGTTTGTATGCAATAAACTCCATTCACACTAACCGACTCTTTAGGAAGGAAGCTGCAAGGCCTCTTGTTATAGGAGTGGTCCTCGTCAGTGTCCAGGGGCATCTGTAGACAGTAAACCATTATTTTGACAGTGCTTTACATGCACGGTTTAACTCCTCAAAAAATGATCCAGGCTCGATTCAGAATGACACAGTACCACACAAAACAAATGTTGCATGTACCATAAGTTCTATGTAGTATGTGTTTTAGGAGTAGTAACCCATTCTGAAACAGGCACACAGGGTCATAGATACGTTGAGCGATACACTGACCATGGTGCTGCCTGCATGCGTCCTTTTACGACTGATCCTGAATGTAGGTGGAACATTGTCGCTAAGGGTCGCCCTGCCTTCCTCACTATAGTGAGCAAACTTCTTTCCATACCTGCAATTAAGACACATTTTCTTCACCAGAAGGTTGCATTTTAGAGCCAGGAGTTCCCCCCCAAATCTTCTCGATAATACAATTACAAATTCAAATGTTTTTGTAGCACTGCAGCATACCCTTCCAGTCCAAAGTTTTCCACCAGGATAACACACCACCACCTTCTCAGGAGAGACATGTCATGCTAAAGAAAGAGCATCAATTTTCATTAAGTTTGTTATAAAATTTTAATGTGACTTCTTTCCTTAATACTTACAATGCTGAAGTCAAAGCTGGCCTCCATGGCAAAATACCAGGCATACTGTAATGAGAATTTTATTAAGACATGCAAGACATAATGTACACGTGACAGCTTATAACTCTGAGAAAGTAGTCACACACCTCCAATAAAATGTGCAGGGCTGATAATGCCACAAGAAACTATTCACTATTGCATGCATTTACAAATGAAAGGTGTTAAGGAGCAATCAATTGTGCCATATCACGGCCTTATCCTTACTCACCATTATCATGAAGACACCACAGTCATTCCCATGGGTCTGCTTCGGAAGCCCCTGTATGAAGAAAAGTTAGTAAGAGCATAATAGCCAATTGTGACAATACGATAGTGACATTGCAAACACCTCAAAATCCAGAGCAGTCTTCTCGGTCCAGGATCCTGCAATGATTTGCTGTGCAACACCCCTGGGAAAGCAAGAGCAAAACTAGGTCAAACATCAGAAATTATTAAAAAAGAGGGGGAACAAAACATTGTTGCTTCAGATTCAGAACATGAACCGCCAACTGTAGTCCACAGAACAGGGAACACAGTTGTAGAAAAATAACAGCCATTAACACGTTCAGACCATGCAAATAAAGTAAATCATGTTATTGGAAAAAGTTCAACGAGGAAGATTTCTCTTGGTTTCCCTTTCGATTGCGTTTGACTATTTCATTCAACTTCAGCTTTAAGGAAGCCAATCTTTTCTGACTATAACAATCCTTCCGTATTTAAAGGTGGGGTAGGTAAGTTTGAGAAAGCGGCTCGAGATACACTTGGTATATTCCATGGAATGCTCTTAACATCCCGATAGCAATGAATATCTGAAGTGCTTTGACAATAAATCCATTAAAAAATGTCATCTGTGGAAGCTGTAGTACTGTAAAAAGCACGACCAATCATCTGAGCCGGCCCGGCTAAAATAACTGGATGGCCTACCTGCCTGTCAGCCTTCCATCTGTGCACAAACTTATCTCGTGCCCTCATTGGTCATGTGCGCGTTCGTGTGTGTTGGAGGAGGGGCTCTGTAAGGAAGTGGCAGATTTTCTCCGGTCGTGTATTTTCAAATTCTAGCAATCTCGAGCCGGTTTCTCAAACTTACCTACCCTACCTTTAAGGACTACAGTGCCTCCCGTTTGAACTTTTCTTTTTTAAACATAGTCTTAACATTATAGGCAGGTCAGGGTAACGTGACCACCAGAACACACACATCCAGGGTAACCTTAATAGATTCCTGTAGGGCTCACAGGGGAAACCCCCTGTTCTTCTGAAATATTGCCAATCCAGAAAGAACAGTTCTTTCTGGAGTGGCCTCATCACCTACAGGGAATATGCAGTCTGGACAATAAGCAAATAGTACACTTTGCGGGTAATAACATTGCCTCAACAAATTCACAAGCAAATGGCATGAGTAATGAAGGTTAAAGCTAAGAAATGTACAACCACATCCTTTCAATGTACAACAGGATGTCATATGCTGCATACAAAGTCTGTATATTTTCAGTGGGTATAATGAACTTACACACAGGAGAAAATGCCCTGGAACCCACAGTGGAATGATCAGGGCTTCCCTCTGATCAGCATCCTTCTGTTGAAAATGATGTACTGCATTTTCATAAAGTAATTTAGTAATGTGGTGTTGCAAAATCAGAAGACCTTTTAGTTAAGTGTTTGGAAACCATTTAAGTTTAATTTAGTATTTAGAACCAACACAGCCAATGTGCACATATCCAATGAGGGGCATGCCAATTGTAAAGTTAAGGATAACATCTCGGTTCATCATGTTTAATATTAGACTGAAAATATCTGCTCAATCACTTACTGGGAAATGGAGCAAAGGATCACAGTTGGAGGGGGGGGAGCCATGTTGGGGGTAGATGAAGGTCGCAAATGAAAACATCCTTTCCCTGTATAGAATTCAACCATACCTAAAATTATGAAATGCTAAAAAAAAAAGTATGTAAAACATGTCTGAGTACCAGCTATGTATTGAACACAACTATGCATGTAAGCCATGACCTTTTCACCAAATCACATAAACTTTTCAGTATAAAAATATCTTTCATAAATAAATAGACACACCTGCATATTAGCCATGTCTTGGACCAGCCTTAGGCACCCATTTCCTACCTGTTGATATAGTTTATAGACAGTGTCAGACAATTAATTCCTGGCATATTTTTATCAAAACATACCTTCACCACTAAATTGGACAGTTGTAACGCACCATTGAGTCCATGTCTCTATGGAGTCCAAGCGTCAGCATGTTACTCCTGGTCAGGCAAGTTGGTCCATCTTTGATTATTATCTCCCCATCTGGCCTATCAACATCCAGGATATAGTTGATCTGGACGTGTACAAATAAGGAAAACAAATAACAGAGCATGAAGATTAGTCATGTTCCAAATTAATAAAATATTAAGGACAATAATGATAGTATGCAGAAACTTCAGTTTACCAGATGCTCCTGAAGGGGATGATCACCCTTTAGGGACCATGAGGCTCTGCAGGGCTTGAGTGATGAGATGATTGTTAAGGCCTCACATTTTTCTGAACATTGGTCCATGTTCTGTGCTTCTATTTATATTGTAATAAAAAAGAAAATGTAAAAAAAAATTATAAAAATAAAAAAGTAGATCACCATGCCTTGATCCATACACATCTTTGTCCACCGGAACCAGTTATACAGATATTCCATAACCGGCTGTCAACTCACCTTTGGGGTGTGCTGGAGTTGAAGTGCCACTTGGAAACAGTGCAGATGCTATAAAATATAAATAAGAAACAAACACAATGTGAAGACATTATTTTAAATCAAAAATATTTCACATTAACGCTTACGTACCCATTACAGCCTTTCCAGTTGGATCAAGAGTGATCTTCTCCGATGATATTTTCCTAAGTTCGGTCAGGGTTCTCTCATTTCTTTTGATGTTATGATGATGAATAGTACATCGCATGAGAAAGACATGGCTTCCCGGAGACATCATGTTCAGAAAATAGTTATTTTTTCTCATTTTGGAGAATAACTGCTCAGCTGTTTGAGAGTTGATCAAGCCGCGGAGTTCTGGGACAAGGCCAATTTTTCTTAAGCAATCTTTAGGGTCTTTCGTGTTTGCCTCATGGAAAGTGTCATAAAGAGCGTAGTGATCGGCAGATCCTGTAGTAGGGTGTCCATTCGTGTCCGCTGGCTCCTTCTTGAACTTTAACCAGGGCAAGTTTATTGTCAGCGCACTTTTCGCAGCAGACAGGAGATTTTCTGGTGTATCATCCGTCAGTTTGCCTTCATTTGGCCTGAAAGGCATCTTTTCTGGCTCACGCAAGTTGGTGTGAGTGACCAAACCTCTGGCAAAGTCATAGATTGCCACATTTGGCATGTGCTTAAAAGATAGCAGCATGTCTGCATAGTCTCGTGGACTTTCTGCTCTTACATTGAATTTAACTGCATTCACGATCCCACAAGGGCACATTATCACTGCCCAACCACCTTAACAGGAAAATAAATTAAAATATAAGTATATTATATATTTAAAACTCTAAAAGCAAAAATCTCATAAATTACGATAATTGTGCTTTGCAAAACTTACCAGATGCACCCCAGACCTTTTGGAACACCTTGTCATATGTACTGCGGCTTTTCATTTGCTCCCTCAAGCGGATGACGAGATCCATTTTTGATCCAGTTGAGTCAAGGCCACAGCTCTTCACCAAACTTCGCACTGCATTAACCTGTGAAAACATTGGCAATTACACATGGTCATCTAAGAACAATTACAGTTTGGGGGAAGCATCTTGTTAAATTAATGTCACCTTCAAGTTCATAATTTCATTTGTCAATCTGTCCTCTGTGATGTCCACCTCTGCCTGCTCTGTCAGGTTGGCCCGTTTCCTGCCTTGACCCTTCATGTATTCTGTGTTGAACACAATGTTGTTGGCCCTGGTCCGAGAACCTATCCAAGGTGCCCATTTATGGTACGATGGGGATACCACACATGGATTTGCAGCATTACCTAGGAAAGAGCCAAACAGACAAATTATGACCAACATTGTTTATATAAGGCTATATACACAAACGCACAGCTTATCCTGAAAAAACTCAAACTAAATGGTTAACAAATGCCTGCAGTTATACCTACTTGGCACAGTGCACTCTCAAAATTGCTCAAAGTTTACTTACTCTTCACAAAGCCTCGACAAAGGATCTCTTCGCTAACCGAATGCCAGAAGTCTTCAATGTCAACCTGGCCATCAAATTCAGGTGGTGGCTCTTGGAGGTCACTCGCTGAAAGACAAACAGTTGTCTAAATAACAGTTGGAATTGTAACTGACACAGAGATTTGAAGAAATGAGCACTCACTTGGCATGCTGAAGACTCCCTTTTTATGCAAATTCATAATCACCACAGGAGGATGATCTCCACAGTTTACACATGAGAAGTCATATGTATGTGATGACAGGGCTTCAAAATGAAGGTACCCATGGAGAATGGAGTCACGGTCTGGATACTTTTGCTTGTTTGTAGCTTGTAAAGCCTCTACAACTCTTCCCACTGCTGTATGGTTCTACAAGTGGATGTGGAGGAAAAACTGTCAGGTTGATATTACAATGGATAGGAACACATGTTAACACATACAACATATAAAACTTGTAGTACCTGTATAGAGTTCCTGAGAAATAGGCAGAAATGATGTGTCAAAATGACATGATCATTAAAATTATGCAGCCCCCTTGTCCACTCCTGGTATCGGTAAAATGTGCCACAAAGAACACATTTTTTACAATATGTTGTAATACCTGTAAAAAAGGATGGTGAACTTGTCAGTATCATGATGGTTACTGAATGACAAACCACATATTGGTCAAGCATGGAACTAAACACTTCAGCAATAACTATTACCGTCATGAAATGCAACCTACCCTCCACAATTCCAGTGACTGTGACAATCTTGGCTTTTTTAGAGATGGCAATGGGTTCAGAAAGAGGGACATTGCCTGGACACTTGTGGCAATAATTCTCTTGTGGAACCAAGT